CTATGTATACATAACGTGTTCAATTATTTCAGGTCGATTTATGTTTATTTTCGACATTTTTGTGTAACAAATCATTTTGCACGACAACACGCGTCAATTGTTTACATAAGTATTCGACGTAAATTGCAGCATATCAGGTACCATCCTTCTGTTCATCGTGGAGTTCACTCTATTATAGGTAACGATAGCATCTGAATATATTGATATTTAGCTCGAGGTTAGTAAGTAAAAATAAAAATAAAAAGTCATTAGATGCAAAAATCGCAATTTGAATCTCATTGCTATTCATAGTACATGACAAAAACGAGGTTCCAGATTACCATAAGCATTCCAATATATATATTACTTGAAAATTAGCAAAAATAGTTGCTTTTAGTACATCAAGCTCTACAAGTAAATCAAATGTTCCGTAATACATTCAAAACATTGTCATCCAAGATGGCATCCCAATTGGATCAAGAACTAATGTCGACCGGAGCGTTTTCAATCGATCAATTGATGGAGTTGGCCGGTCTTTCGGTAGCACAGGCTATTTATAGGCAATATCCCCCTACATCTGCGTCGTCTAATAAAGTATTGATGCTTGTTGGTCCGGGAAACAATGGGGGTGACGGATTGGTAGCTTCGAGACACTTGAAGATTTGGGGTTATGATCCGGTCTTATTCTATCCGAAGAAATCTACGAAGAACGAATTGTACAAGAATTTGTTGAAGCAATTGCAAGATTTGGAAATTCCGGAGATTGAAAGCCTTGATGAGATTAAGAGCCTTTTGGAAACTCCCAAGTCGGTGAAGATAATTGTGGATTCGCTCTTTGGGTTTTCATTTAAACCACCTATCCGTGCGCCATTTGATGACTTGATTAATTATTTGTCGACTAATCATTTGAAAATTCCGGATATAGTGTCCGTTGACATTCCATCGGGATGGGATGTCGAGAAAGGTCCGGTTGATGTTGATATTAATTCTACAATGTTGATAAGTCTTACAGCACCTAAACCCTGTTCCGAGCATTTCTTGAAGAAGGGAAGAGTTCACTATTTAGGGGGGAGATTTATTAACCAGAAAATTGCTCAGAAATATGATATCGAAGATTTGGTCAAGTTGTATAAGGGTGATGAACTAATTGTAAAGTTATAACATACATTAATTAACAAATATGAATTTATAAATAATAGTCGATGCAATATAGACTAATATGAGACAAGAATTTATGACATTGGTTATTTCTTTGTAATTGTGCTTAATTCAGAACTGAATGCTCTAAATGTAGATGCTATGAATGCAGATACTGAACGCCCAGTATTAACCTTATGTGATGCAGGAGCAGAAGTCTCCTCGATGTGGTGCATAGTGTTAGCAGTGTACTGAGTGTTACTCATGAGATATGTAGACGATGCTCTTGGTTTGATTACATTTGAGAAAGTGTTCAAACTGGTCAGAGGAGGGCTCAATAATGATGTAGATGTCGCTCTAGGTTTTAAAGTTCCAAAAGAATACCTTGAGTAACCATAATCATTACCAGGATCAAGACAAACATCGATTGACCCATTAATGGCACTTTTCATCTCCCGCTTGCTTTCATGTAAACTTTTTGATCCTGCAAATGTAGAAAAATTACTCTGATTTGTCATCGAGAACATTGATGCTGGTCGTGGTATTCTATTCTTCCTCACCTTGGGCAAAACTAGGCCATTATCAACAGGAGAATGTGGTACACTTGGAAGTTCTTTTTTTGTATCAATATGTGGCGAAGTATTCTGTTTGAGAGGTGTAGGTATGCCAATTTGATCGTCACTCTGAGTATTGTAATACTCTAAAATTGACGTGCTTGCATAGCTTCCGGTTTTTGGCTGCTGACAGTTTACGCTTTCTTTATCGGAGTCCCATAAGCTGTCATCTAAGCTTAATCCATCAAAAATGCTACCTAATTCAGGCTCATCTAAGCACATTTCCACTGCATAAATATCATCCAAAGTATCATCTTCAATATCATCAACTTCTGAATATATGCTTGATGAGCTGTCGTCAACCATACAATCGTTAACTTCAAAAATGCTCTTTCCTGAGTTTACACTCATTTGTGTATACTCGTCACTCGGTATAGATGATGCAGAGGTAGAATCAGTAATGCTGGTTTGAGAAAAAAGACTATCAGCTTCAGTAAGAGGCATATTTTTCGCAGTCGCAGATTCCAGGCCCTTATCGTCTTTAATGATAATTTCCCAGGATCTTGTCGTCAGGAACTCTTGCTGATCTTGCAAAGGATTGTCTTGTGGAAACATTGACACAGATCTCTTCATATTACGTTTCATTCCCAATTTAGCTTCAACTTTAGGTGGTAGCTCCGGTAAACATTTGGATTCATGCGACAATATAGGCATACTTGTTACCCTCCTTCCTTTTGCATACCTTGTAATACTTCCAGTTTTTCTATTGAAAACAGGCAATGTTTGAGGAAGATCTTCCATTTTATAGGTGCCAACTTGGAATGTATCAATAGCATACGATAAGTCTAAATTATGCAAGTTAGCTGGTATTGGATCTGGAATATCCATGGTACTTAACCGTTGCTTGGAAGACGACTTTGTCATGTCATATAAATTAATTTCAAAGCACAGATTCACCTTTTATTATTTATGAGGGCTTAACAATTATTTATTATGTTTCAGCTGAGGTTACAAACTTATATATTCAAAAATGTGATGATCTTATTTCTGATAATGCTGGCCCTCGCACCTCGATTAAGAAATTTTCCCCAAGCAAGTTTTTTTCAATACAATACTGAAGCGTATTTACGGCATTTAAGGAATAGGTTGAATTGTTAATTGCCTCTTTTACGGTTTAACAAGTACAGGCGGGTTAATCTTTTATTGTATTCCCTATTAATAGATCTATGCTAATGTAGCATTAGCTTTGAACGCATATTTACACAAGCCAGCAGCACCTCTACACAAAAGAGAATATCAATGCAGTCCAGTAATGATTTAATAGAGATCAAGGATAAGTTGTGGAATGGATCAATTAATGTTAGAATTTTAATGGGGGATGATAATATCAAAGATCCTAAGGAGTTCCTAATTACAGTATACCGCAATTCGTATTTCCCCATATATTTTCCTTCGGTTATAACTTATTTTCAAAAGTATGATGAGAAAATCAAGTATATGCCAGTATGGCTAGAATATGACACAGTGCCGATAAAATGGAATTTGCCAATTGGTGTTTTATATGATCTTTTGCATTTGTCTAGTATCATACAAAGCCGTGAGGACAGTTCGTGGACACTTACATTAAGGTTTTCAGATGACTATCCCACAAATCAGGTAATTCCTTTTACATACACGGATGTTGATAATTCAGTCAATTACAATAAACTGCTTAAGGAAGTTGTAGTCAATCAGTTGAAACAATCATGCTTTGTAATAAATGGTAATTCTAAACCGATAATGAATTTGGGTGAAAAAGACTCAGACGAATTATGGAATTCCATCAGAACACACAATTTGAAGTCATTCAATCAAATGAATAAAAAAATCATTCCTATGCGGAAGAAGTTTCAGAAGTTACCTGTTAAAATATACATTCCTGGGTCTGCAACAATAATTCATGCCCCGATATATCCATACAGTGATTCGGGCGAAGCTATTCTCCTCAAGGATATATTAGAAGAGTATCTACCTGATCTTATGAGTAATAACAATGAAACTTTGGGCTCAATTTACATACATGGTATCAATGTGGAAGCTATAATAAATAAGGATATAATTAATGTTTGGGAATTGTTTAAGCATTTGGATAACTTTCTATACATTATTGTTATATTTAGCACTTATTCAACTTTATAGCTTATTCGCTTTTCCCTCTAAATACAGCTTGCAACCAGTTACGGTACATCTTCAACTGTTTCTTTCTATTAACTAACAACCTCCTGTCTGTTGCGATTTTTTCTTCTTCAAACGGACCATTCTTACAGAATATTTCTCTTAATTGTTCTTCCGTGAAAAAATATACCCGTGTTCCATCACCTCTAATGTAAAAATTATCATCTAATAATCTACCTTTCTTAAACCTAACTTGTGCTAAATCATACCTTCCGTAATCCCTGAATAGTATCTCTCCTCCTGGCTTCAATATCTTTGCTAAATTATTAACTGCGTGTACCCATTGATCAGGATGTAATGCCAGAAATACGAAAACCATTATAATAATATCTGCAGAATGAGGCTCTAAGTTCTCTGGAATTATGCCATCTGGATTTGCCAAATCCCAAACCGATGAGTAGGCAATACCCTTTGCATTAGACTCTGGGTAGTTTTCGTTTGCCTTAACTAAGTCCACTGCAACTTTCAGGTAATCACAACCGACAATTTTAAGATTTGGATTCTTATTTTGATTCAATATAGGGAAAAATGTATTCCCAGCACCACAACCAATTTCTAAAATAGTAGTTGGCTTGTCATAATCTTCACCTGTAACTTTGTACAATGACGGAAACTCTATTTGTAGCCATTTTCTGTCTTTAAAGAAATTCTCTCTATTATTTTTATAAAAAATATCCCAGTACTTCGCTGGATTAGCGTTATACAATTTTTTGTCAAAATCTTTAACAGGATTGTCATATTGTTTTGCAATAAGTTCTTCAGCTTGCTTAATCTGTTCTTCGCCCCATTCTACATGGTCCCATGCATTATGATCAAAGACATTGTCTTCATCATCTAAAAATCTTTGACCAAAGGTGAACGGTGTATCTCTACCTATTCTTGAATCTAAAGGTGGCTTCGTCTCCTTATCCAAAGGTACTTGTTCAACCACAGTCATTATACGTTTTATGTCGTATTAATCTATCTGAATCAAAGCTTTATATTGATGCTACCCAAAATCTACAGCTTGGAAAATAAAAAAAAAAAAATTTATTTATTATTAATATACAGGAGTAGTTGCAGCTATTCACTTAGATTATATTTAAGAGAAGAAATGTAATTCATTCTATGGAACAACTAGTTTATTTTACTCAAATAATGCTTTTCACCATCTAAATCTTGTAATCTAGAAGCAGCTTGTTCACTTGTTAAGTCTCTTTGTGATTCGCCTAACATTTCAAATCCAACGCAGAATTTCTTAACAGTAGCAGATCTTAATAATGGAGGATAGAAGTGCATATGGAACCAAGAATTATTCTTTTCCTCGTCAGTACCATTCAATGGAGCCTGATGTATACCCATTGAATATGGGAAACTAGTATTAAAAAGATTATCGTACTTGGTAGTTAATTTCTTTAAGATCGAAGCTAAATCTTTATTATGCTTTTCAGTAAAGTCTGTAATAGAACGTAAGTGTTCTTTGGAAATTAAAAGCGTTTCAAAGGGCCACAATGCCCAGTATGGAACAACGACAATAAATGAATCATTTTCTAAAACCAATCTCTCTCTCTCTTTTAATTCTAATTGAACATAATCCCCAAGCATGTGCGAATGAGATTCATTGTGATAATTGGTCATATTTTTTATTTCATGGTCGACTTCTGTTGGAATTGTGTCTAAGCACCAAGCTTGACCATGAGGATGAGGATTGGAACAGCCCATTGCAAAGCCTCTGTTTTCGAATATTTGCAAATATTTATATTTAACAGGCCCTTCCTGTGCTTCCCTTTGTAAATCTTCATATAAAGATCTCCAGGATTGAATAACACAAGTAATATCTTCAACAGACATCAATGGTAAAGTTAAATTATGGTTTGGACTAAAACAAATTACAAAACACTTACCTTTTACCCCTTGAGTCTTGAATAATTTGGCTTTTAATGGAGAGGATTTTTCAATTTTCTCTGTATCTTCAATATAGTCAGGTTGATCTACCCTGACAGCTGGGTAATCATTTGGAAAGATGTAAGTATTTTCATATTTTGGGTTAGAATCTCCCGTAGCCCTTATATTCCCAGGACATAAGTAACACTTAGGATCGAAGCTTGGTAAGTCCGACTTTTTAAGCTCTTCTTTAGCACCTTGCCATGGCCTTTTAGCTCTATGTGGTGAGCATAAGACATATGTATTTGACAAGGGATTGAAACGACGATGTGAATGATTTGTAAAATCGAATAGTTCGGTCATGATGTATTATTTAAATTTAAAATTATAATCTTTAATTGTTTTCAAAAATAATTCATTTCCTTGGACTTATATTTATAATTACAAGGAAGCACCTCGTATCGTGAATTCTAATTTTTAATGCAACGTTACATTGGAGTAAATTTCTCCATTTATTGTCAGCGGCTTTGTGTTATTGCCCCATCACGGATTTTCCTGAACTTCTGCATTTTCGGTTTAATTCTAGATGCAGAAGCATGGAGAAAAATGTCTGTGCATAATTTCCTATTCTGGTTCCGGAAATACCATCCAGCCTGAAAAATCGGCTATTTCTTACACATATTTCAATGTAACGTTGTATCGTATCTAATACAGACCTCCGAGAGAAATGTAACGTTGCATCATAGGAGAAACGTTTGCTCATATGCTGCTTCGTAAGAAAATCAGTATTTCTAATCTTTAGATCTCAGATTTAGAAGTATCGATTAAAAATTATAGCCTACAATATTCTATCATGCCTGGTTATGATGAATATTTCCTAGTTACTGGTGGTGCTGGCTTTATAGGATCGCATTTCTTGAATTATTTCGTTATTCGATATCCAAACTATCATTTTACGTGCATAGATAAACTAAATTATGCAACAAACGAAAATACTAATTCATTGTCTAAGGTTATAGAATTGCCGAACTTTAATTTTATCAAAATGGATTTATCAGTCGAATATACCTTTCTCTATAACTTTCTTGTTGCGGAATATAAGAAAAACAAAATTACGAATATTATACACTTTGCAGCTGAATCTTGTGTTGATAGATCTTTTTCCAATCCGTTATACTTCACAACTAATAATATTTTGGGTACTCAAAATTTGCTCGAATGCTCTAGATTGTTAATCTTAAACTTTCCTGATGTGAAAGATCATTTCAGATTTATACATATTTCAACTGATGAAGTATATGGGGAACAACATGAAGGTGAAACTGTTGATGAGTCTAGTAAATTGAACCCTACAAATCCTTATGCAGCGACTAAGGCTGCGTGTGATTTGATTCTTAAATCATATTACTATTCTTATAAGATACCGGTTACCAGCATACGATCAAATAATGTATATGGGCCAAGACAATACCCAGAAAAGATTATTCCTATGGCATTAAATAAACTCAAGGAATACGTCGGGCAGTATCCATATTCAGAAACCATGGCGCATAAAATAATGATTCATGGTAACGGTTCAAATAAGAGAGCATATTTGCATATTCAAGATTTTATTCAGGGTATAGAATTAATTTGGAAGAAATTCAAAGAAGAGCAAGCTACAGCATATTCTAAACAACAGGTGATAAATCAGACGTTTAATATTGGGAGTGAGGATGAAATAGATAATTTATCTTTGGTGAAGTTCATTTGTGACAATTATTTGAGCAAGAAGTTATCGTTGTCGAATTTGGACTACTCTAATTATATTGAGTTTATAAAAGACAGAAACTACAACGACTCAAGATATTCAATCGATTATAATAAGATTAAACAGTTTGGCTGGAAGCCAACTATCGACTTGAAAAGTGGTATAATTGATCTAATTGATCATCTTTTATAGGCTGTAAATGCATTAATTTATGAATAGATATAATATACAAGGAGGTATTACCATCACAATATGAGTTCCTTAACTTTCATTTCAAAAAGTGAACTTTTTATTGGCATATCTAGTGAATAGAATGGATCCTTCATAACGTAGTCCGAATATAGGACGTATAATTGGTTATAAATGTCATTCACTAGCGTACATTGCTTTGATAGTTCACCTCTACTTGACGTCCCCAAACTCTCTATGGGCTGTAAATTGTGCACCACTGGGTTGGGCGACGTCACAATTACGAATTTGATACCAGTCAAGGTTTGAAAGATGTATAAATTGAAGAAATCTGTCTCAATGCTTTGCAATCCTGACTTATTTGAATCAGAGTTTTGTGATTTACCTGAGTTGATTAACGATGCATTGTTATTCTGTGTTATATGTGATGGATCCTCTTTGTTTAAATTTGTTGAATGTGTTAACTTCGAAGCAATAGCATGAACACCATGTAAAGTACCGGCTAAAACCAAGTAATCATTTGCTCCTAATTTATTCAAACTTGGATTCACATCATTTTGGTAAATAAGACCACCTGCCTTATTTAAAATATAAAGTGAATAGATTTTCATTGATAAGTTTCTTAATTGAAGGCTTTAATAGATCACCGGTGAATCACTTGAACATTAAACTCATGCTTCACACGTCGTGCGCCAAACAAGTATTACTTAAATAGCATTGTATTTGCAAAAGCATAGGTCCAATTCACATATTAATTCCCAGCTGAAGCTCTGCTATACCTATATATTACCAATAGCAAAGAGCCAAACAGTTCAGGTTTACATATCATGTATCTTGTTCAAAATTAAAAAAAAAAAGTAAGCTTCCCCACCAGGAGTCGAACCTGGAATCTTCTGGTTCCAACCGAGAAGTGGATACGAAATCGTAGCCAGACGCCTTGACCATTGGGCCATGAGGAACGAAGCTTAAAAGGATTTTTTTTTTAATACACATATAATAGCTCAATAAAATAAAAAAATATATTACATTGCAAATATCTAAAATATTTGCTAAAATAGTAAATTTTCAAGCAATATTCTTTTGTATTGTAATCTTTTTTGAATAATTACAACATTCAAAAAAAAGAATTAGGAATATACAATTAACGAAATAATTAACGAAATTTTATTATTTATAAAGCTTATTTAAGTGGTAAAAGGAGATAATGAAAATTTTAATTTAGAACCATAGGTTTCTCCTTTCCTTAAAACAACCTGTTCAGCCCATTCCTTATTATTAACAGCATCAATGAACCTACTTGATTCGACGCAAAACCCACTTCTGCTTTTAAAATCATTAATATTTGTGTAATCGCCTGTATAAAATTGGAAGGCTGGATCCGTAGTAGCCACTGTGAGCTTGGTCTTAGAGGATGGATGTGTTGCTTCTACCACGTCAATCAATTCATTTGATCTAGTATCGAGTGACGAACCCTTTTCATTAGCAATGAAGCAATTATCGAATGAAATATCAGGAGTTAATTCCACAGTCTTCGTTAAATCATGAGGCGAATCAATAATTTCACCGGTAGGCAATAACGATTTTGGATCCACTTTTAAGCATTTATTAGTAATTGCTCTAATACGAGTACCATTAATGTCCTTATTTGGTGAAATATTCCAGTATGAATGGTTAGTTAAATTCACGGCAGTAACCGAACGTTTAGAACCTTCAGCAAGTGAAGATATGTACTCGATTTCCAATGAATCCTCTTTTATAGTATATTTAACAGTTGTCTCCAAATCACCAGGGAATCCATCATTACCATCAGTATCAACTAAAACAAATTCTAAGGTTGTGTGGTCTTTATGGTGTTTTGCAATTGGTCCCAAAAAGTATTGTTTATCGAAACCATTAGCACCACCATGTAAAGTATTAGCCCCATTTTCATTCTTAGTTAATTTATACATGGTCCCATCCAATTGGAATTCACCATTAGCGATTCTGTTAGCATAACGTCCGACGGTAGTTCCAAAAAATGGATTATCTTCAGACTTATAGTCATTAAAGGTCTTAAAACCAGTAACTAAAGATTCATTATTGTAGTTAACATCTTGGATTAATGCACCATAATTAGCAATAGAGACCTTAAAGTTTTCAAAAGACACAGTGTGCAATCTATTTCTGAAGTCTTCCACATCTGTATCATTGAAAAGTTTCCAATTGTAATTTTTGATTTGGAAACCAAATGGGTTTTCAGTAGTCCATTTCCATAAATCTTTACAGGCATCTTCGATCGTAAAATTTGTTTTCCATTTTAATTCATTGTTTGCTCTGGTTGCATTAGCAGTTAAATCAAGTACATCACCATCTCTTCTACCGACTACCTCATAAGGCAATTCTTTACCAACAGCCTTACAAAACGCATGGTAAACATCAAAAACAGTAGAACCCTTACCAGTGCCTAAATTCCATTCTCTAAATAATCCTTCATTAGAGTTCAATTGATTTAAATAATTCAAAGCAGCAATGTGTCCTTTAGCCAAATCAACAACATGAATATAATCTCTTATTGGTGTTCCATCATGACTGTCATAATCGCTACCAAAAATGGATAATTTTTCTCTCCTACCAATTGCAACTTGAGCTAAATAAGGAAGTAAATTATTTGGAATACCCAATGGATCTTCACCAATAAGACCAGAAGGATGTGCACCAATTGGGTTGAAATATCTCAAAATAGCCGCTCTCCAGAATTTGTCACTAGTGTGTATATCTTTTATGATATTTTCAATCATATATTTTGTTTTACCGTAAGGATTTGTTGGGTCGTTTGGACAATGTTCAGGAATTGGTATCATGTTTTCGAATCTAGTAGCATCACCATAAACTGTCGCAGAAGAACTAAAAACAATAGTTTTAACTTCATTTTCTTTCATCACCTTTAATAAGTTAATAGTTCCATTAATGTTATTATCATAGTATTCCAATGGAATCTTAGTAGATTCACCCACTGCTTTCAATGCTGCAAAGTGAATGACCCCTTTAATTTTGAAGGTCTTGAAGACATTGGTCAATCTTTCATGGTCCCTGAGATCGATATTGAAGAAATTGACAGATCTTTTAACCATAAACTCGATTCTTGCAATTGCATCATAACTCGAGTTGCATAAGCTATCAATGATGATAACTTCATACCCGTTTTCGATTAATTCGATAACGGTATGTGATCCAATATAACCAGCACCGCCGGTGACAATAATATATTCTTTAGACATCTTGCTATTTGCTCGTAAGTATAGTTAGATAATGCTTTATAGAATCACCTTCTAAAGAGCCGTCCCACTAGTTTTTATATCAACCCTTATTTTATTTCATTAAATGCAACGTTACATGGTTATGAATAGTACATCACTATTTTATACATTCTTCGGGATAACTTTATTCACAACGTCTCGAAATTTTTTTTCTTGCAGATACATCGTATTCGCGAAGAATAATTACTATGAGCCCATACCATTCCGTGTTCAGATTGGGGAAAATGTTTGTTGCTATCCATTTAGCAAGGTTATCTTGTAAAAAATAAGAAAAGCAACCTAGCTATATGATAGTCAGAAACTACGTATAGTATTAGAATATCAAAAGTAATTCGATTAGAAAATATTTCTTAAGGGAGGTTTAACCCAGAGATTTTCTCCAAGTTTCTCCATTGCTCCGGATTTACTAAAAATTTCTTGCATATCCTAAAACAGTAATTATGCGCCGACATGAAACTACGTAATTCGGCGACGTCATACAAGAGATTCGGATCGATTTTTCCTAGTAAAATTTCGGCAGGGGAGATTTCATCCCATGAGTGTAACGTTACATTGCAATCTAATTTTTTTCCCTTCATAAATATGGAGTAAATTACAGAAATAAATTTGGAGTGAATTTTTTCATAAACTATTAGTTATTAGCTTGAAGATACGCAAAGTAAAGACTCGTAGAAATGACTGACTCTGTTCCAACATTCAAAGACTTATCGTTTTATTCGAATCCAGAATCAAACAACTCAAGATATGTAAAATTGATTCAAAAATTCCAGGACAATTTTGGAATTAAACCAGAATTTATTAGTCGTTCACCAGGAAGAGTTAACTTGATTGGGGATCACATTGATTACAATCACTTTTCTGTCTTGCCAATGGCTATTGATGTTGATGTTATTGCTGCTGTTGGTACTAGTGATGATCATAAGGTAGTATTAACCAATACTGACGAATCGTTTGCAAAAGAAGAGTTCGATTTAGCTTCTGATGGGAGTGTTATTGAAATAGACAAGACCAACCATACTTGGGGAAATTACTTTAAATGTGGATTGATTGTTGCTCATAAGTATATTAAAGACAATTTCCCTGAAAGTGTGGATGGCGGTTCAAGGCCGTTGAAAGGTTTGAGATTAACATTCAACGGTACTGTTCCTACAGGTGGAGGCTTATCTTCATCCGCTGCATTTTGTGTTGCCTCAACCTTAGCCATCTTAAGAGCTAACGGCGTAACGTCAATTTCGAAAGCTGATTTGACAAGAATTACTGTCGTGTCTGAGCATTACGTTGGAGTCAATACTGGTGGTATGGATCAATGTGCATCCATATACGGTGAGCAGAATAAAGCATTGCTAATCCAATTTAAGCCTAAATTAATTGGTATTCCATTTGAAATCCCTGTTATTAAGCCTAATGACATGGTATTTTTGATTTCTAACAGTTTGCTCAAAGCAAACAAACACGAGACTGCTCCAACAGACTATAACTTAAGAGTGGTAGAAATTGCCGCTGCATCAGAATTATTTGCTAAAAAATTCAACTTGAATTTACCTAAAGATTCAAATGTATCTACAGGTACATTAAGAGGCTTCATGGACAAATACTTTGAAGAATATTTAAAGAAGGATGCTTGGGATGGTAGCGATATTGATGTTGGTATCAGCCGTTTAGAAGAAATGTTGAAGCTAACTGAAACCGTTTTCAATGATGATGAAAAGGTTGGTTTCGAAACACCCGAAATCGCCAAGCAATTAGGTTTATCGGTGGAGGAATTTACAAAGATATTTTTAACTAAAGCTCCTGTCAGATACCAGAAGTTGAAGATTTACCAAAGAAGTAAGCATGTATTTTCTGATTCCTTGAGAGTTTTGCAAGTCTTGAAATTGTTAAGGAATTACAATCCAAGCGAAGACTCCGAAGTGTTCTTGAAAAACTTTGGTAAGTTGTTAAATGATTCCCATCACTCTAGTGACATTTATAACGATTCTTCAAAGCCAGAATTAGATCAACTTTGTGAAATATCTACGGCTAACGGTGCTTATGGTGCAAGAGTTACTGGTGCTGGGTTTGGAGGTTCAGTAGTTCATTTAACAACGGCTGATAGATTATCCAACGTTGTAACAGCATTAACTGAACAATATTACAAAAATCATTTCCCAGGTATCACTCAGCAAGAATTGGATGAAGCCATTGTGGTTTCGAAGCCAGCTACTGGTAGTTGCATTGTTGAATTAGATAGTTTCTCGTTATAAGTGTAAAAAGAATATATGTACATTCCGAACTTCTCCGCGATCGCAAAATACGCACAATCAGTTGATTTTAAAGATCACCCCATCAGTAGCGATATCGGATGGTTTTTAAAAATGAGGCCATAATAAGAATATCTGGGATAAACCGTTACACAATGTATATATAACAGCTTTTGCCTTTGTATGTTTTGATATTTTATTTTCGTAAATTACAATTATTTTTAACAAATTATGACTTTAAGTATTCTTCCATTATTGGAATTCAAAACTCCAAAACATGCAAGGCGTGCCCCCAAATATACGGGTGCGGCTAATCCACAATTGCTGCTAGATGGGTTTTATCTCAATGAAAGACTTCAATTGAAACATAAGATAGGTGCAGGCACATATGGATTGATATATCTTGTTGAAGATTTAATGACTGGGCAGAAATTTGCGGCAAAAATGGTTTTAACTGATGCACCAAACAGAGTAGATGGAGCTTCGGTCGAAGAGAATAAAAGGAGAATTAAGACAAGATTATTCGACTATTTTAATTCTAAACAAAGAGTAAATACAAATGAGTTGAATTTGGACTATATTCGGAATGAGGGTCTTCAGTCTTCATTTTTAAGAGAAATTGCATTGCACTTAAGAGTGCATCAACATCCAAATATCATCACAATCCATAAGGTGATAAGTCTAGACAATGTGGCTATAGCGATAATAATGGATTACTATGAACAGGGTGACTTGTTTGACAACATAGTGGAGAAGCGAATATTTATGTATCCTCCATACTATCAAGATAAGCAAACTTTGATGAAAAATGCAATGTTACAGTTGATCGATGGGATCAATTTTTGTAAAAGCCAAGGTATATATCACTGTGATCTAAAGCCAGAAAACATTATGGTCAGATATCAAAAGAGTTACAGAAGGACGAGCAAGAGTATTATTGACTATACTGAAATTCAAGTCGTGTTGATAGATTTTGGTTTAGCCATGAATTCAGATATAATATGTTGCAACACTCGCCGTGGTTCCAGCTTCTACATGGCACCAGAAAGGGTTACCAATTATGCTACTAGCGATTTCATTAGATCAAGAGTTGACTTGGATCAATATAAATCCATAATGTGCGATAATCCCTCCAGTGCTAAGTATTTCCCTACTGTAGCAGGTGACATATGGTCATTAGGTGTATTATTTTTGAATATTACTAGCGCCAAAAATCCATGGCCTAGTGCATCAATAGAAATGATTAATGGTAATAATGTTTTCCAATCTTACTTGAATGACGAAAAAATACTCAGCTCTATTTTTGCAATATCAAATAATTTCAATTCTATACTCGTGCGAATATTCAAGTTGAATCCGAACGATAGAATTTCACTTGAAGACCTAGCTTATGAAATAGGACGCTGCAATTTTTTTATTAACTGTCAGTCAGTCTACCAGCTACCAAGTCCGGTAGATAGCGAAGGAGACGATGACGACATGATATAGCCGAAAATATTAATGCATTACTCACGTACATATCTCTTATTACCATATTGTAACATCTCGTCTTCGGGTCCATGCATGTTTTTAGTTATTAGGAGCCGTATTGCGGCACTTTTTCCGTTACTTGATCCCGTCGTAACATCTAAGATTGTCCTGCAGTGCGATGCGTTGCCCCTCTAACCGTCTACCAGCGTTCTAATGCCAACATTTTTTATCGTAACTTTTTATACCCCCCTATTTTCCGTGAATGCAAAGCATTGTATCGTCTAAGCGTCGTATTCGTACCGTGTGCTATAAAATATTGCACCTATTACTCCGGTGAGGCTCGTTTCCGGATTAAAACCGAAAATGCCACCCGGAAAAAATTTCAACATTTACTTTTTGCATATGCCCCACCAAATTAAAGCACTCTTACGAGCCAAACTTAATTTTTCCCCGGCGAGTCCGTGCTGTGTCTGGATTCGTTCACACTCTCAACTATTCCCGAAACCCTCCTATTAAATTTTAAGGCTTAAATTTAAATCAGCCATTTAAGTTGTATCGATGGCGTAAACTTGGTTTACAGTCAAATTTGGATGCTCTCATGGCATCTAACGAATTACACGGCAATTGCGGCGATGCTAAATCGTATCTTGAGTCTCGTTGGATAAATTAATCGTCCGATTTGCGTGTCATCATTTCCCCAGCGCGCACTCCAGATGCAGACATTTTTTTTCTGTATGGAGTCACTAAAATAAGAAAAATTTTCTCGCAAAAGCGATTTAAACAATAGAAGTTGCGGAAAATTGCCCCACATTGATTACATAGTTTGAGTTTGCATAAAAGTAGAAAAAAAAACATGATACGCATGTCATTATATTATAGAACAAGGCCAGAAATTGCAATATGGAGGAATTTTGGGAAATAATATAAAAGGTGGACGAATCTCTACAATAAACATAAATTTTCTCTTTATTTCTTATTAAAATGGGTTACGAAGACAAATTAGTAGTTCCTGCTTTAAAGTTTAGAAACTTTTTGGACAAGACTCCAAATCTCCATAATGTTATCGTTATTGCTGCGATTTCATGTATTTCCGGGTTGATGTTTGGTATCGATATCTCGTCGATGTCAGCATTTCTTGGTGAAAAAACATATACAGACTATTTTGGTACTCCTAGCACAACTATGCAATCGTTTATTACGGCTGCTATGTCTTTAGGTTCATTTTTTGGATCTTTAGCTTCTTCGTTCGTGTCTGAACCGTTCGGTAGAAGAGCTTCGTTATTGTTATGTGGTTTCTTCTGGTGTGTTGGTGCCGCTATCCAATCGTCTTCTCAAAATCAAGCTCAATTAATTATCGGTCGTTTTATTTCGGGTTTTGGTGTTGGGTTCGGTTCGTCAGTTGCTCCAGTTTATGGATCTGAATTAGCTCCTAGAAAGATTAGAGGTTTAATTGGTGGTCTTTTCCAATTCTCTGTCACTTTAGGTATCTTGATCATGTTCTACATCTGTTATGGTTTAAATCAAATGAAGACTACGGGCTCATTCAGGATTGCTTGGGGTTTGCAGATTGTACCAGGTTTGTGTTTAATCATTGGTTGTTTTTTTATTCCGGAATCTCCTAGATGGTTAGCTAAACAAGGCTACTGGGAAGATGCTCAACAAGTTGTTGCTAATACTCAAGCTAAGGGTAACAAAGAAGACCCAAACGTTTTAATTGAAATTTCTGAAATTAAGGAACAAATCATGTTGGATGAACACATTAAGGCTTTCACTTATGCTGATTTATTCAGTAAGAAATATATTTTGAGAACCACTACTGCTTGTTTTGCTCAAATCTGGCAACAATTAACTGGTATGAATACATTGATGTACTATATTGTCTATGTTTTCCAAATGGCCGGCTACTCCGATAATGCTAACTTGATTGCTAGTTCCATTCAATACTGTCTTAATACAGGTATGACAATTCCAGCATTATACTTCATGGATAAACTCGGTAGAAGACCAGTTTTATTAACCGGTGCTGCTTTCATGATGGCTTGGCAATTTGCCGTTGGTGGTTTATTAGCCACTTACGGTCAACCCGCCAATATTAGTGAAACCGTCAGAATTGAAATTCCACCAGAAAATGGTAAGGCCGCCAAAGGTGTCATTGCTTGTTGTTATTTATTCGTTGTTTCCTTTGCTTGTAGTTGGGGTGTTTGTTGTTGGGTCTACTGTGCTGAAGTCTGGGGTGACAGTGCGTCAAGACAAAGAGGTGCCGCTCTTACTACTGCTGCTAATTGGATTTTCAATTTCGCCATTGCCATGTTCACGCCAAATGCGTTCAAGAGCATTATTTGGAAGACTTATTTTGTATTCGGAACATTCTGTGGTTGTATGTTTATCCATGTCTTATTCTTCTTCCCAGAAACCAAGGGTAAGAGATTGGAAGAAATTGGTCAAATGTGGGCCGAACGTGTTCCAGCTTGGAAGACTGCTTCATGGCAACCATCTATTCCAATCGTGTCCGACAGTGAATTACATAACAAGATGAAGGTTGACCATAATGAAGATAACTTATTAAATTCTTCTTCCCACTCTGAAGCATCCCAAGAGAAAGGCGATACTTCTCACATGACTTAAATCATTTTATAATATTTTCACTACTAGACTATAAAGGGCTTGTATATGAATAAGTTGACATATTTCAGTTCTCTCTATATACTTTAAATTCAAATATATTAATATCATATATAATATGTTCGGATGTAGTGTTGGCAATAATGCACTAACAAGCGAAACATTTGCAATGCATAGAATTTAAAGTGAAAAGCTCCATAAAGAAGCTCAAGATTTCTATTAATGCTAATTCTAGTCTAATAAACAACGAATATAAATAGGGGGTTTGAAGAAAGGATAAAGAAAACAAATGGTTAAAACAACGACCAATTAAGAAACCTCCATTGTGTTCGATTTCGAGAATGAAGAATATTTCATAAATGGATCATTCTTCTCTAAGTCGTACTCTGGATTTTTGATTGTTGATTTACGGAAGTAAATTCTCTTGAACCACTTCCATAATTCGGCTCCAAGAAGGAACAAAAGCGTGAAGCCAACAGCGAGTCCCCATTCATAACCGATCGGGTCATGTAAAAAGACTATGTCATTGATTACAGGAATGTAGACGACTGGGAAAACTGATACAAAGCCGCCAATAATAGACCAGAATAAGAATTGGTTATCCCATAAGTCTATAGCTAATTGCTTTCCCCGAGAAATTTCCAGCTCTGGACGCATATTGAAAAAAGAATATCTCATATGAATACACTCCCAGGCTAATAATAACGCACACCATGTGAACGCCGCAAACGCTCCAGATCTACCTCTAAAGACTAAGTTACAAGAATCGCCTCCAGAGTCATTACAAGCGGAACCAAGATTACCATCACCAACAGCAAAGACGATAAGAACAAAACAAATTAGACAACAGCATGCCATCCAGAAACCGTAAGCAATCATATCAATTATCACTTCCCAAGTGAAAATGGTTGCATTTGGCGGCTGTTCTAAGATATCATCATTTGCTTTTTCTTGTCCTAATCCCATAGCAGGAAAACATGATGTTACCACAATAATCCACAACACTTCAACTGGAGCTAATGGGAAAACGGAAAATCCATCTTCGTCCATAAATGCTAAACCAATCATCAAGTATAATGCTTGGGCAACATTTTCAGCTAACAATTGCAAAACGAATTTTTGAATATTCGATGACATTCTTCTTCCTTCTTCAATAGCGTTTAAAATTGATGCAAAATTGTCATCAGTTAAAACAATATCTGAGGCATCCTTAGCCACATCAGAACCGTTAAGACCCATTGCAATACCGACATCTGCCTTTTTTAAGGAAGGAGAGTCATTGACCCCATCTCCTGTCATAGCAACAAACTTACCACGGCGATGTAAAGCTTCAATCATTCGAACCTTGGTTTGAGGAGCACATCTTGCAATCACCAATGGCAATACCGGCAAATTGTCAATTTCATCGTTACTCAACGCATCAAACTCATTCGCTGTCATAACCATGGATTTAACGACTTCTTCAGTATAATGATACAAATTACTCGGTAAAATACCGACTTCTTGAGCAATAGCCCTTGCAGTTCCATGATGATCACCAGTTAACATATGGACGTTGATTCCAGCCTTATGACATAATTTCACTGATGGAGCACTCTCTGGCCTTGGTGGATCATAAATACCAATCAAACCTAAAAATATAAGGTTAGATTCAACACTTTCACGTTTGGATATATCTTCTTTCTCAATGTTAATGGACCTTTGGGCAAATGCTAAAACTCTAAGCCCTTCAGATGATAGCGCATTCATATTCAGTTCGATAACCGATTTATCGGCTTCCGTTAATGGCAACATATCTTCTTTAGTATCCATGCCATACCAGTAAGAACAACAATCTAAAACTCTTTCAACAGCTCCTTTAGTATAAATCAACGAATTATTTTGATTATTCTGGTAAATCACGGACATTCTTTTAATTGAAGAGTCAAAAGGAAATTCGGCAATATGCTTTAAATTACCCTCTACCATTTGCTTTCTTGAAAGTCCCAATCTCGTAGTGAAAACATTAATAGCAATCTCAGTAGCATCACCATTGGCCTCCCATTCAGTAGTATCATTCTCACCTTTAACCTGATCTACAGTGGCAATATTAGCCAATGTAGCAGTTTCTAGCCATTTCTCAAATAATTTGGGAGTTGGCTCTGGCAACTTCGACGCAAAATCAGTTTCTTCATCCGTTTCTTTAATAAATTTAGGGGAAGAATCAGCAAAAGAAAGATCACCGACGGTTGGATTGAAGGGTTCGTTGGAATTAGTGACGGCGTAAGTACCGATAGATGGAATCCAAACTTTTCTAGCAATCATTTTACCCATGGTCAATGTACCTGTCTTATCAGAACAAATATCATTGATACCTCCTAAAGCTTCCAAAGAGTCTAATTTTCTGACAATAACATTTTTAGTCACCATCACTTGAGCTCCAATCGCCATTGTAATTGTTAATACAACGATTAAGGACGATGGAATCATAGATAAAGCAACACAAATAGCGTATATTGCCACACTCCTGTTAACATCCATTTCCTGTGATGCCATTACAACAATTGCAAATAATACGGCAACCCAGAATAAAATGATTGCCAACCACGCCAATCTTCTTTGTAATGGTGTACCGACGTTTGTACCCAAAACATTGAAGATAATGTTCTTAGTAGATTTAGCAATAGCGACTACATAAGCCTTGAAACTAGAGTTTGACTTATCCACCTTCACAATGAGAGCATCTTCGTCAGACCTCAATGATTTAGCAATTTTACCGATCTCAGTATGTAATGCAGTAGATACAGCGATACCTGTACCCCTACCTTTTGAAACGACTGATGAACTAAAACACATATTCAACCTGTCTCCTACTGGCACCGGAATCGACGTGTCGATATAAACATCTTCAGCACATTTTGCCACTGGTAATGATTCACCTGTAAGCAAAGCTTCATCAGTTTCAAGGTTCATAGAGTCTATCAATCGCAAGTCAGCTGGGATAGTATCTCCCACTTTGATACAAACAACATCCCCAGGAACAACTTCCTCTGCATTAATGTCACTTTCTACTCCATTTCTAAGAACTCTAGCTGACGGAGTGCTTAGCGATCTCAAAGAACCCATAGTTTTCTCAGCCTTATATTCCTGGATAAAACCGACAAAAATGTTAATGAACACAACAAACCCAATAACCCCACCAGAAATCCAATCCCTAATAGCAAGTGCTATCACCATCGAGATGATCAACACCAAAATCATAGCATTGAACACCTGATGGGCAAAAATCTTTGTAAGTGAAATTTTTTCTTCTTTACCCAAGTTATTTCTGCCATACTTGTCTAAATTGGCCTTCGCCCGGGAATCGTCTAGTCCCTTTGCAACATCAACATCGAGGTTATTTGCTACTTGTTCAACTGTTAATCTATAAGCTAATATACCATCACTTGAATTAATATCATTCACATGAGTTTTCGATTTTTCACAGCTTTCATTTTCATAGACTTGACTAATGTGCGATTCATCTCTACTGTTCTCAACCGATTGTCGTACTTTCTCTTTTTGCATAAACTCAATGTATGGCCGTAAACTTATTTAATAAGTAGGGCTTTGTTTATCTATAAAGAGCTATGAAAAAAATTCAAGACGAACGAGCAAGAAGCATCTATTTATTGATAATGGAATAGTTATGAGCCTAAACACATACGGTGCTTTTCTTTCACCAGATGCATTTTGTCATAAATGCCAAGGCAAATAAAACAAGCTGCTAAGTACCATGTGGCAGATAATATTCAGCGTATATTATTATATGGTTTGTTGCAGAGACGTAATTAAAATAGAATTATCTAATCATCATATATTTCAAACCCATATTTAGAGAGATAATTTTGCTAACTGTAATACGGCATCTTTGGTATTTGCACCACCAATAAACCCAGCCGCATGTACGAATATACAACCTGGAACACCAGTTAATTCAGATAATTCTTCGTCTCTTATACCCCTCCATTTTTCAGGTAAGCCTAATCTGAATTCGAAGGATGTTGAAGTTACGGAGACTGTAGAAATTCTCCATTTGCTCGATGAATCTTGGAACAAGACGAACTTAATTTCACCTTGCTTGTTAGCATCTTTTTCGATGGAATATAAATGCTCTTTCCAAGGACAGAAGTTATCCAAGATGATGATTTCACCTGATTTATCAACGTCAAACCTAGAGTTGAATGCTCTCTCAACAATCTGTTTGGCAGGTAACCAGGATTTTCCGTAACCTGTCAATAAATTTACGAAGACTTGGCCCATCAACTGACTACTGGTACTGAAAGCAGCATCAAAGTCGGCGTCAGTAGGATCAGTGTTCCATGAAGGGTTGAGTCTAGAGACAATTGATGGCAACGTGATGTTTCTGTCGTTGAATTTTTTGTTTAATTCGACGTCTTTTGAGTAATTGTTAATACCATTATCGTTTGCATCCAAAGCTTCGATAAATTCCTTGTAGACTTTGTTGTATAATAAATCCACGTTGCTGTCATTGATGCTCAATACATGGCTAATGATTTCCTTACCAAAGTGTTTATATATTAAACCAGCCGATGATAATTTCGTTTTGTATTCAGCAGAGAAAGTTTCGTTGAATTCTCTTTGATGGTGGTCAAACCACTTGATACCATCGTACTTACCACCAACATCAATAACCACATCACTTGATTCCCAGTCAGCTGGGTTTCTTGATCTGATCAACTGGCTGTTTTGATATTTTGGCAACAACTTAATCATGAATACGGCCAACGATTCATCAGCGTGGAAGGAGCCTGAATGGGTACAAATTTTTAGCATGGTAGAATCTAATTTTATTTTCTTATTACTGTCGGTATCTGACATGTGTACGTAGTTTAGAGTGTATTCAAAGCTATGGCGAACAAACTACAACTTTGATATTATAATATGGAGTGAAAAAAATGAGTGCGATGACCTAAGCATATTTCAGCTAATGAACGGGCGATATTACTAAACAGACATTTATA